GGGCTCTGGCGATCCTTCCGCCTCAGCCTTCCAGGTAGCTGGAATTACAGGCGCGCACTATCACGCCCAGCTAATTTTTGATTTACTGTACAGATGAGGTCTCGCCAATTTGCCCAGGCGGGTCTCGAACCCTCGGACTCAGGCAGTCCACTCACCTCAGCCTCCCAAAGTGCTGGGATTACAGGCTGAGTCACCAAGCCCGGCTGTGATTCATATTTTAAAAGGTTCCTCCAAGCTGGGCTCGGTGGCTCAGCCTGTAATCCCATGGTTTGGGAGGCTGAGGTGAGTGTATTGCCTGAGTCCACGGGTTTGAGACCTACCTGGGCAACTTGGTGAGACCTCATCTCTACAATAAATCAAAAATATTAGCCGGGTGTGGTAGCGCATGCCTGTAGTTCCAGCTACTTGGAAGGCTGAGGCGGAAGGATTGCCAGAGCCCACCAGGTCGAGGTTGCGGTGGCCAGGAGTGTGCCACTGCACTCCAGTCTGGGCAACAGAGTGAGACTCCAAAAAGGGTCCTCCAGCTGCTTTGTGGAGAAAGGACTATAGGGGGACATGAACTGAACAGAGACTGGTCGGGAGGCTGCTGTCATAGTCTGTGGTTTGCATTAGGGTAGTAATGGACAGAAATGAACAGAATCAGGATCCTTTTTATAGGTTGAATGATGAGTTAGATATCAACGAAGGGAGGTGTACATTTGGATGTGGAGGAGGAGAGCTCTAAGATTCCTAATCCAGATAACAGAGGCCAGAGGTGACATAAGTAGATTCAGGAAAGTCAGGGAGGGAGTTGAACTTGAGAGCATGACCTGGATGAATCTGTACTCACTGAACACACAGTTCACTGGGATCTAAGTTAATGTCAGTTCTTAGGGACTGCTAATTCTCACTTGGGCAAACCTCCTTTCTCTTGCTCTTACAGGCTGTGAAGGCCATTTGTATCTCAGGACTGGGATACATGAGGTCTCTCCCCTTGAAGAGAACTGATCCATTTTGGTTCTGGCCTATAGGTTGATGGACCACTTGCTGGTGGCTGCCATAACTTAGACTTTAAAAAATTCTG